CGTTTGTGATATCTCATCCAAACACGACTCCGGTAAGTTATGATCGGTTTTTACTTTCATTAAACGGGATGCCAAGTACAACTGAGAAATACCTTCAACACATCCTTCGTATAAAGGTTCACTAGCAGCTTCAAATGCTTGAAACACACCATCTGCATATTGCTCTTCGTTGGGTGCTTCCATCACATCCTCCAATACTTCTTCCACAACATTCGGATAATTTTCTTGGTATGGTTCTTCTTCCGTATGCAGTGTGCCTTCTCCCATAAATTGACCTCTTGTCGATGATTCGCCAGCGTCATAGTAAAGATCTTCTCCATGGCTTGACCATAAATAATAATTACTTTTGAACCCGACCCGGTAGAGATGGCGAGAAACGGTTCTCGATTCACGTTGTTTTCGGTTTTGACATCTTGCACAAGGACATAACATGGTTTTCCCCTCGATAAAAGAAGTTTGATTGGAAGCAAACGCAATAAAAACATCAACACCTTCCTTAAACTCACGAGAAACGCATTTATTGATCGGATCAAAGTGTTGATCCATCCACTCTCTTGAATAAAAATAATCAGCCATTGGATTCACAAATTCAACCCCAACTATCTTAAATTTTGCCTCAACTCATATGAATGAAAGCGTTTTATGTTTGATATCTCACTCGTTGAGTATAAGTGAAGTGCTCGGTTGCTTTTATATAAAATACCTTGCTACGAAATTTGCCACGAAATGCTACGAAAAATGCTACGAAATATGCTACGAAAAGTATTCGTAGCAAGGTCAAAATATCTTGAATTATTTGGTCTGCACATTTTCGGAATGAGGGGACGTTGCATTCAAAATAAACCACGATCTTTGCTACGAAAAGGTCTCGTAGCTTATTTTGTTTTGTATTTTTTCACCGACACTTTTTTTTCCAGTGGGTTGCTACGAAATTGATACGTTTTTTGGTCGTAGCAAGTTGCTACGATTCGTTTGGTAGCAAAATCGTAGCAAGTGATACCAACGATTTATTTTCGTAGCACGAACGTAGCAAATTTG